TCAAGGTCTGAACCTCACTAGCCTGAAGCTAGCTCCGCCGCTGCTGAACTCTCTCTGCTGGAACCACAGTCTCTGGACCCAACCGGTTCCCCCTCTCCACTGAACAGTCTGAACCTCATCAGGTACAAACCTAGATCTAAACTCTGTCAAATCATCGTTGCCGCCTGGCTAACCAAAATATCCCTCTCTTCAGATTACTCTGTGAAAACCAAGTCCCGGACCAGTACCAGAACCTGTGCCTCTTTACTCTGTGTTAACATCTTTAAAAAACTGTTAAACTTTTACCCTACTTCGTGTGGTGTTCTGCATGTGGGTTTAATCACAGAGACCCATCATGACAATTTCCACTTGCTAAATAATTTGCAGGTGTTGCAGAGTAACATAAAACCGACAATCAAGATACTGACTGTGTATCCTGAAACTATTTATTAAAAGGGTACTGATTAGCACGTTTCACGTCACAAGAATGTTTAAATAAAGTTTTGTTTTCCATTATTCAGGTCAATATGCTCCTGTCTTTCTGGATCAACTTGGATCATTGTTTCTACCTCCATCTGCCTTGCATGCATTCAGGGGTAGATTTAGTAAGTTTGGGGCCCTAAGCCAAGAGAGGCAGGCGGCCCTCTGAACTGAGAAGACAACACATAAAAAAAACAGATCTATTATACAGATACAGAAAACTTAATAGAATAGACATAGATTATTTGTTCTATGTTTTGTCCCTCTCTTCTTGTCCCTTTGCAGGTTGTTTTCCTACTCAGCTGACTTTTCATGCTGTCTCAAAAGGAATTAATGAAATATTTATTCAAGCACTAAGCTCACTTGGCTGATTGCTCCTTCTTGTGATTCCAAAAAGGCCACACCAAAAGTAAATAACGCAGTTCTTCTTTTTACTGTAGATAAGCCATGATCTGCTTATCTGTTCTCCATTTTATATTTGCATGAAATAATTGCTGCATGAATCATGACAGCAGACAAGATAGAGGAGAGCAGGAGGCTGGGTTACCAATCTACTTGCTCTGGAGAGCAGAGTTCGCTGCTTTTAGATGTTGCTGCCAAAGTCTCCAGTAGCAGAACAAAGTTGCTAGATTTGGTGCTAGGAGCTTTTTAAAAATAAAATTTCTAGAGGGGTCTGAAAAGTCGCTAAATAAAGCGACAAAAGCGCTAAGTTGGCAACCCTGCTCTTTGCACCGTTTGTTTTCAAATGGTTTGCTGCTCTCTGTTTGGACTTTTCTGAACATGTGCAGCAAATGGACTGATCCAATATGGTGGAGATTGAAGGGACACACTTAATATTATAAGCGTTCTCATAGCATCTTAGCCAAAGGTTTTTATCAAAAACATAATTATTGTGCGCAAATAAGGAATAGTTGTATTTACCATACACGTAACCAGAGTTTTATGGGGCCCCTAGGAACTTGGGGACCCAAAGTAAATGCCTAGTATTGCCTAATGGTGAATACCCCTCCTCCTGCACTCTAATCAAGACTCATTCACTGCAACTGTTGTCCTGCTTTATAGAGTGGTCTCTGGTTGAAAAACAGTGCCAGATTATCGAAAACCATCATCTGGGAAAATATCCAGCGTTATTTTTCAGCCTGCATGATATCGATTATGTCTATTCCTATTGGGTTTCCTTATTCTGCTTTGCCAGGTTAGATATTCCCCTTGCTTCTGATCTCTGGACATCAACCTTGTTTCTGCTTCTTGACTGACACCTCCTGACAGTCCCCTGGAGCTGTCAGTCTAAATCTGCCTCCCTCTGTTCCTCTTTGCATCCTGTGCCCTGACAACTATTTTGGCTTCATTGGCTTCTACCAGGTTTTTTTCTCCACATATTCCTGCTGACCGCACGGGTTTATAAACCTCAAGATTAATCCATGTGTGCTCTAATAGCCTCTCAGGTCTACAATAATCTCAACCTGCTGTCACCACACCACTACATTAAGCAGCCAAAGCTCAACATCCCCAATAGTGATGATTTTAATAAGGTTAGTGGCTTTATTTCTATAGCTCATCCACTAGATTCTGCCAAGCACTAACAATTCCTTCTCCCTTCAAATGTTACTGATCTGGCCTAAGATTGTTTACTGCCATTTATTAAACGCAGTTTTCAATAAATAAAGCCACATACCACCTGGCTTAAGAAAGATAG